TGTCTGCACCCCACCTCAATCCCAGATCTCACACCTACTCAATGCAATGGAAGAGTGCAGCCCTTGATCACTTAAGCTCTTGGAATGCCCCATCACAAATTACTGCCCCTATTTTAAAGGCATCTAGATACCTAACTCTTGTTGAAACCAATGTGAGTTAAGTGCTTAACCTGCTTAAGTGTGGCTATAAATTTAGGCTCCTATCTGTATCTTTAGGTACTTGAATACCTTTCTGCAGATTCTGCCTAGTACATATATAGGTGAAAATAGAGGGATCTGAGAGGGACTGGATACTGGCAAGGAAATGGTCACACAATGATCTTCAATGCAGTTACTTAGTCTAGTGCATGTCTATTATTTATACTTACTTCCATACAATTAGGATTTTCCCCTTACTTGAGCTTTATAAATAAAATATTTGTCCTACTGAAAAAACTCTGAACATTTCACAAATTATTATTAAGAAAACGGCAACCATCAAAAGATAAATCTGTCTCCCAATTATCTAAATGTGTGACCTACTGACAAAATGGGCTAAAATCATGTTGGGTGTAACACCATTATCTTTAACGTGGTTATGCCCTGGATGAATTGGACCCAGTGTATTTAGTTCTACTAAAAGTTAAACAAGTAAAGAGCCACCCATTATGTAAGACTCCATTAGAATATGTAATGCAGGCACTATCAGTTACACACTTCTGTTTGTCATAGCAAAGACTGCATGATGCATCCCCAAATGACACTAGTGCTACCGGCCTCGCCTTTCAAATTGAGGCCGGCAACAAACCAAAGCATCTTAAGGTGAACATTTTTCAGGCTCATGTGACCAATTGCCCCATGAATCTAAAATACACAGTCTCTGCAGTTAATATAAAACACTCAACCATTACTTTAATTATCAGCAGCACAGAACAGCATGGTATCATTGGGATTGTAAAATCCCACTGAATCATGTTCTGAAAACCAAACCAAACCACAGATCTGCTACAAACTTGAGAGCAGATATGGGTTGGAATCAAACCACAGCGGCATTCTCTGGCTTCAAAAGCTTTTTAGGTCAGAATCTGATCTAATATATGCTATTATCTCAGTTGAATTCAATGGGATTAATTCTGATGGACACCACAGTAAATGTGAGTAGAATCAGGCCCCTTTATCTCTGTAGTGGGCAGACCCAAAAGGCTGAGACTTGAGTATTTCTGAGCTTAGATGTTCTCTAAACCCACATCCAACTCTTAAAATGTGAGTGGATTTAGAACAATGGGCAGAATATGGGACCTCTATATAAAACGGGCATAATCTGACTACCGCAAACTCTTAAAATTTGAGATGGTTAGATTCTGCCCACTGTAGATAGAGGTCCCAGATGAGAGCTCTAATTTGGGACTTGGATCCATTCCTGGGAGATAGGAGGACTGACAGACATTTCACTTTGCTTTCACTCTGCTTTGGCTCTCTGGCATTGAAATCACTTCCCTGCCCTTGCTCCACAGAGCAATAAGCCTACGCATATATTTAAATGAGTTGTATGCACAAACAAATGTCATTGCGACATAATGAAATTCCATTATTGGTCAATAACAAACTCGGTACTTCCCTGAGATCACGTTAAGCCCTGTACATTGTGTCTAAATGACAAAGACAAATGATTCTGGCTGGGAAATTGGAGACTGTCATGCCAATGCCACAAAAGATGCCTTCGTGAATCAGCACTCAAGCTGTTGAAGCTCAGACTATTCCCTTCAAAAATCTATGGGCCTTCAATGTTTGGCTGAATAGGATGGCAGAAGTAATTGTACTTCGTGCATTTCAGAAAAGAATGAAGGGCCACCGAATTGGCAAGACATTAGGTTTTAACTGAAATAGATTAATTGTTCACAAGCTTTGCTTACAAACATTAAGAGCAAGAGCAATCTGTATGGCCTAGGGAATGCAGTGATGTTTATAACACACTTAACTAAGTATTTAATATTAATAGCTAGCAATAAAAGAATTGAAAATGGAGCTGCACATCAATTCAGCTGAAAGATAGAAATCACTTGCAGGACTTTGGAGAATGATTACTAGAGTACTGCTGAATCTGAAAGACTTTGAGGCTGTGACATGATATTAACAGAAAAGAATTTTTTATTGTTGAGGTGATTTTGATGGGTTTTATTGCTGCTTTTATACAAGTAGCTATCATCCACAATGGCAGGTAGTTAACATTGAATTGATCATTTATTAAAAGAACTGCATAATCTTTTAAACTGGGTCTTGAATTCATTTTATATACTGTGTGTGCTGATTTCACCAATGACATACAGTAGCCATAGCAATGCAAAGCAAGGCAATAAATAGCATTTACAAACAAAGGGAATAAATTCTGTTCTACTGGATGAGTCACCTACTCTGAGCCTTAAAATTCTTTTAGCAGTGAATTAAGAGATACATTTACATTCCCCTAGCTTTAATTGAGCTTGAATGTACTAATTTAAAAAGTAGCAGAATCTATTCTTGCTTTTCGGTGAAAAACCTATATGCAGAGAACATTCTCTCAAATGCAGTCAGTAAAATTTTAAGCTAAATGCGATGAACAGACAGCAACAATTCTAGGCTTTGTTGGTATAGTTCATTCCCAATTTCATTTTGGAGGCAACTAGCAAACAAACAAGCTTTGTCTCTTTGGCAAAGATGCTTAAACAGGTCACTGAGGTAAAGAGCACTAAATTGTTTTAAAATGTTGAGCCTCTGACCACATGAGTGAATAAACAGGAGAGAATGTCATAACTATGTTTAAAAACAATACAAGAAATTGTTTTTTTAAACAGGCCTTAATTAACCCATGGATCTCACTGCCACAAACAGCTTGGCTGCATCTAGACTGGCAAGTTTTTACTGGCAAGTTGTCTACACTGGCCGCTTGATTTTGCGCAAAAGCACTGACGTTCTACTGTCCGAAATCAGCACTTCTTGCGCAAATGCTTTGACGTTCCCATTCAGGCAAAAGCCCTTTTCCGGAAATGTTTTTGCGCAAGAGGCCCAGCGTAGACAGCAAAAAACTGTTTTGCTCAAAAAAGCCCCGATGGCGAAAATGGCAATCGGGGCTTTCTTGCACAAAACCACGTCTAGATTGGTACGGACGCTTTTCCGCAAAAAGTGCTTTTGCGGAAAAGCGTCCGTGCCAATCTAGAAGCTCTTTTCCGCAAATGCTTTTAACGGAAAAACTTTTCCATTAAAAGCATTTGCGGAAAATCATGCTAGTCTAGACGCAGCCCTTAGGTTTAAAAACATTAGACGCTTACATGGCTAATAAGAGCATCCAGTCACGAAAGACATGGCAATATTTCATAAATGGGGTAAACACACACTTCAGAGCACAAAACAGACACAAATTAAGAATAATCCTCCCCCTGTGTGGGTATTGTCCATCCCAGTTTACTTGCACCTTCTTCTGAAACATCTGGTACATGTCCCTGTTGGATATAGGATACCAGATGGGATGGCCACTGGTCTGATCTAATCTAAATAACCCTGAAATGGCTGTACTCTTGGTTTCATGGAGGCTGTATCTAGCACCAGAATAGAAATCTCTCAGTATCATTGGTACATTGGCATCTTGCCAGGAATGTTGCCTTTAAGTTGGATATATGTGTACTATATGTTTCTATTACAGATAATGCATGCTAGATACTGAAACTTGCATGTAACTTGACAGAGGAACTGAAATGGTGGTTTCAGTTCCCCATCAATCAACTTGTCATCAATCAGTTCTGGCCTCCCCCTTGCAATTCCCTGCTTCATTTCATGACTGGGAGTGTTCGGCTCTCTGGTACCATGTAGGTTGCCCAGTCCAATGAATGCTCAAATGGGTATAAAATTCTCAAGCTTTATGCTGTTCTCACTGGCATCAATGCTATCTCCACTGATTTCAAAGAAGTTACTCCAGATTAGGGATGTAATAGTCGATTAACTGATTAACCAATAAGCAAAAGCTTATAGGTTAATGCTACAGACTACACGCATTTCCCTCCCCCCAACCTTTCCAGTACATTTTTTGCAGGCTGTCCAACAGCCTGGCTCAGTTCTGGCTCCTGCCAGGTCCAGAACCTATCTCTGCTATGGCTCTTCATTTAAAGTGTATTAGGAGCCAGGTGGGCAGGCCGCGTGGCTCACACCGGGTCCAGGAGCTTAGATCCTCCTTAGACAGGGGCTCCTGCCACCCCATGCTGCTGCCTCTATCAGAGGCAGCAGCAGTGGGCAACAGGCAGCAGTCCCAATGGGGAGCTGGTTTAAAAACTGGCTCCCCTCTTGGACCAGCTCCTGCCTGGCACCCTGCACAGCTGCCTCTGATACACTGGCTCCTGGCCCCGTTCCTGGGGATTATAGAATAGTTGACTAACTGATAAAAATTAATAAGATTACTCAACTATTAAATTAATGATATTTAACATTTCTACTCCAGATTTACACTGGTATGCAAGAGTAGCATTTGACCCACTATGGTTTTGTAAACCAGTGCGCCACTCATACATTTCAAAGGAGGGACCATGATGCGGCACAACCATTCTGGAATATTACAGTTCCAATACTGGAAGCATTTGTTTGCAATACAGAAACTTGAGGATGAATAGTCATCTGTTTCAGATATTCCTTTGTGCTTCAGGAAGAGACACTGTACGATACTGCCAAAATTTAGCAACTGACAGACAGAACCATGTAGTTCACTCTGTGACTCAATGAGCTTTTTTTTTTTTTTTTTTTAATAGAAAGCTAAGACTGCAATTGAGAGCAAATGCTTTCAGAGTGTCAAGGTGGCAGCAAATATGATCCTAAGATAAATTCCATTAAAATCTTTTGATTCATAGGGGGGGGAAAAGCAGGAAAGGAAGGGAGAGCATGATAATAGCAACAGCTTCTAAACAGGAGTGATAAATAATAAACACAGGACAATGGAATGAGTAATATTGTATATTACCTGTAATCACATGAATGGCTGTTGTTTCCAAAAACTGTTTTTGCTGCCAATGTTCACTTTGATGATGAAGTGTTGCACAGAGTCAAATCTTAAATGTATCTGAAAGAGACAACATTAGAGAAAAATCAGAGAACGTAATGAAAATGACAAAGCTGGCAGAGCCCAGTATGAAAGATTACTACTGTAAACTTAATGCTTCAGAGGGAGGAGGCAGAAACTCCTACTTTGGAAGCTTGGGTAATTTTTTATGCCAAAAAGAACTCAATCTTGATTAGGAAACAGCTATTAGCAAATCCTAGTGAATTACTGAGGCAGTTAATACTCTAGAGGCCCCCCCAAGGCAAGTGGTTCAAATAGCCTGGTATTTGACTCTTAATAACTAGGAAACCTTAGTTCCTAATCAGAGGCAAAGCCACATTCCCTTTATTAAAATTAGGACCTGCAGCACTTTTTACACATAAGAATTTTGATTTTATTGGAGAAAATAGCTAATAGGTTGTAATAATAATGTATGTCATCAGTTTAGTATTGGCAATGTGCTTGGTGCAGTACAAAACATGACTGGCATTCCCTGCCCAAAGAGCTATCAGTCAAAGAACACAGAAGACACTGGGAAACCTGGAGAAGGGAATAACTTAGAGGTTGGAGGGCAGATCTTCTGTGATGCTCATAAGAATACAGTAATATAGAAGTGATTTTTCAGGAAGAATCTGAGTGAGGATAGGATGATGCCCTGAACACTGTCAGCGTCGCTGCTTGGTGAATGGAGATAAGGCTCCCTCTAAAGTAATCTGTGTCACCCATTTTTCTGCTTAGTTTTGGGCGTAAAATATTAGCTAAATAGTTTGAAAAAACAGGACTTTGACAAAAACGTTTAGCCTTATGGTTTGCCAAAGCTACTTTTATGTCAGTCACAGCTATTTCTTTGGACATGAAAAAGGCATTTTCCCGAAGTGAACTGAAGTGGGGTAAACACCTGAAACCCTCGAGTGGTTTGGATTCTGAGCCAAGTGATTAAATAAACCTACCTGTTCTGGAAGCCTTTCTGCTTAGATTTATATTAATGCATTAACTGCACACTGGTATTATTTAAAAAGAGCAGCTTGGCAAAATTGCCTCTTGTTTTCTAAAGTTTCTTCTCAGGTTAGAATCCCTGGCTACTGCCCTTATAGAAGGAGACAGTCTCATGGTTATTCCGGTTCCCAGCAGTTACCTTCATATTCCTTTCCAAGTCAACATATCCTCCTTTATGTGCCCAGAATTCAGTTCTAAACTGTTTAATTCTTGCCAGGTAATTTTTCACACACACCCCCTAACTATCAGATCAACTTAAGGGATAGAGTAATAGATTCTCTCAAGAAATTCATGAATGTACTCAATATTTTACTCTTCTTTGGAAACTGGACAGAATTCAAAATCTAGTGGTCCTATATACTGTTAGGAAGTTTTTTATCCCACTGAACGCTACAACTCCGCTGTTAGTAAAACCCATGAAAATGCAGCAAGAAAATGCAGCAAGAATTGGCCTATGTTAAATCTCTCCTTTAGAAAAAGATTAGATGCATTAAGGACTGTTATTACACAGTCAGATATCAGACACAGAGTAAATGATGTAGGGGATTATTAAATGGCTATAAAATTGCTTTACTCTAGGTTATTGCTATGAATCCAGTCCAGGACAGCAACTCCCTGAAATTATCATCTTCTGATAGCTGTTCACTCCACTTGCTGCTGAGCAGCTCACAAAACCCACAATCAGTACCACTTGGTCCAGTTTCAGCAGAGAAGCCAGTGAGCAACTGAACTCACTAGGAGACTAAACATCTGCCCAGAAAAAGGGTTGGATTTGAGGCCTCTTTGTTAGATAGCAAAGGGGTCTCAACCCATGCAGTTCCTCTAATGTTAAGTCACATTAAAATTATAATGGGAAATTAAAAGTGTCCACTGGAAAGAGACCCAAACACTCCAGCTAAGTCATATTTAAAAGAAACAACTTTTTCAGTCTAGAAGTCTTAGCAGGAAATTCTCCTAAAGTGCAAAGCAATCAGAATGCAGTTATTCTCGGAGTAGGGAGATACTCACTTCATCCAGCTAATACAGCTGATTATCTTCTTGGTTGACATTAAGGGAAACATTAACTACTACCCTTCCTTCAACAAAAGGAAAAACTATGTAACACTTTAAAGATTTGTTCTGCCCTTGTCACTTGCTACATCACTGCACCTCCTTTGTGGCATCACCGATGCTAGTCTTGAGAGTCAGTTTGTCTGTATCTGTCACAAGTAAGCATGTGATTTCTTCCACTTTACCTCTTCTACAGTGAATGCCCTCCCTGAATTCATCTGTAAACTCATTTACCATCCCCCCCCTTTCAATGCACCTCCTCAAGCTAACTAACTTCTGCTGTGATGCCTGGAAGGGATCAGCCAAGGGATGATGACTTAGCTAGGCTGCTGTCTGCGAGAGCTCCTGTTATTTTATTTATGTCAGAGAAACCAGTACCTACAGTTGATCTGAAGCGATTACATTGTGCCCCAATTGCGCTGTCACTGGACAAGCCTGTTACCCCCTTACTGTCAACCTCCCTTTCCCTTCAACCATTTGTCATACTCATGTACCGGTTTTAGAGGCGATTGCAAGATCTCTGGAACAGGGAGTCTGTGTTGTACTGTGTCTAGCACAATGGAGCCTGAATTCTGATAGGGGCCTTTAGGCACTACTGCAATACACATAATAAATATATGAATGATGCCTACGGCATTGCCAAGTGGAACAATTTAATGATGTTTGTCTAGGGAGGCAGCTCTTTTCTGCAAGATAGATTATTCCACACACCTTCCCCTTGTCTGGGGCTGGATACCCTTTGTTCAACTTTTGGAGTGGAAGGAATTTGCTCAGGAATAAGTCTGATGCACAGTCCTATCCCTAGACCTTTCTCAGCATGGAGAGCTGAACCAGGGTGTCCCGGGAGACAGTGTGACTGAGCATGCAATGACATCATTCCCAGATGCTTCACAAAAAAGTCTGATTCCCTCAATAACCAGCCACCCAAATAGCCTCTTCAGCAGAGGCAACATGTGGGGGAGTGTGCGCGAGTCACGTCTTCCCTCCTCCTGGCAGATTTGCTGCTTGGCTTGTACTGAACATGCTCAGTAACATCTACTGAAGACACTGCACTCACTTTCTCCCTCCACTGTAATCAGCAGCTATGGCACATCTCTTCGGCTGCCCTTCAGTGTTGGTTTGTTAGCCCAGATTAGTACAGCCATGATTCGTACAGTCAATGCCTTACAAGCCCCTAGTGGCTACACACAGAGGCAGCTCACTGGACCTGTCTCCCAGTCCATAGCTTAGCCTCTGGGACTGGCATTTCCTTTTCCAGTGGGAAAAGAGCTGGCAGCAGAAAGCAGGGATGGGATCTGCAACCATTTCTCTAGCCTCTCGTGGTAGAACAGTGACTCCTTTTAGGCTCATCCCTGACCAGTCAGGGCTCTGGGGGCAGCTTCGTAATTGTCCATTGCAGATTAATTACAATACTGGCAACCCCAAAGGATGACTCTGGCCCCAAAATGCCATGAGACTGAATGATTTGTGGTAAAATTTTACAAAAGATTATACCGTGCTTCTGGGTCTGTCTTTTAATTCTTGAACTCCCCCTGCTCATCCTCAAGGCATGAGTGACCGACTTAGTGTTGTCAACTCTTCCAGGTTTATTAAGGTGATTTTGCCCATCCATCCATCCCTTATTTGAAGAGTGTCCCTTACATAAGAACGGCCGTACTGGGTCAGACCAAAGGTCCATCTAGCCCAGTATCCTGTCTCCGGACAGTGGCCAGCACCAGGTGCCCCAGAGGGGGTGGACCGAAGACAATGATCAAGCGATTTGTCTCCTGCCATCCCTCTCCAGCCTCTGACAAACAGAGGCCAAGGACACCATTTTATCCCCTGGCTAATAGCCTTTTATGGACCTAACCTCCATGAATTTATCCAGCTTCTCTTTAAACTCTATTACAGTCCTAGCCTTCGCAGCCTCCTCTGGCAAGGAGTTCCACAGGCTGACTACACGCTGTGTGAAGAAGAACTTTCTTTTATTAGTTTTAAACCTGCTACCCATTAATTTCATTTGGTGTCCTCTAGTTCTTCTATTATGGGCACTAATAAATAACTTTTCTTTATCAGCCCTCTCCACACCACTCATGATTTTATAGACCTCTATCATATCCCCCCTCAGTCTCCTCTTTTCTAAACTGAAAAGTCCCAGTCACTTTAACCTCTCCTCATATGGGACCTGTTCCAAACCCCTAATCATTTCAGTTGCCCTTTTCTGAACCCTTTCCAAGGCTAAAATATCTTTTTTGAGGTGTGGAGACCACATCTGTACACAGTATTCAAGATGTGGGCGTACCATAGTTTTATACAGGGGCAGTAAGATATTCTGGGTCTTATTTTCTATCCCTTTCCTAATAATTCCTAGCATCCTATTTGCCTTTTTGACCGCCGCTGCACTCTGTGTGGAAGTATTCAGAGAACTGTCCACGATAACTCCAAGATCTCTTTCCTGATTTGTCGTAGCCAAATTAGCCCCCATCATACTGTACGTATAGTTGGGGTTATTTTTCCCGATGTGCATTACTTTACACTTATCCACATTAAATTTCATTTGCCATTTTGTTGCCCAATCACTCAGTTTGGTGAGATCTTCTTGGAGTCCCTCACAGTCTGCTTCTGTCTTGACTATCCTAAACAGTTTGGTATCATCTTATTTCATTGATTTGCCCCAACAGTGACCACACATCCTTTATTTAAGGTGTATTAAAATGGATAAGTACCATTTTAAACAGTAAACTGAAGCCTATGATAATTGCATTGTATACTTGAGGGCAGTAGAAATGTACACTTGAGAGAAAAATACATGCTATGCTAAAATAAACGGTATTTCCTTAAAATAAAAGCATTGTCTCTTGTTTTTCATGTGGTTTTCCCTTATTTCCATTCAGCAAAGGTCATCAGCCTATCTCCCTTCCACCTCTGCTCATCCCCCTGCCCAGCAATTATCTATACCCCAAGCCCAAATTCACTCCAACTCCCCGTTTCCACAT